GTAGTGCCTCTTCACTAGTTTCGCTAAGATATTTAGAAAATCTAAGATATCTTGAAATTTTTTCAGAAATATGGAATTAGATAATAAACATTCAAGGAATCTTAGAAGAAGTATAATTGCACATTTAAGGTTCAGAAAACCATATCAAAGAACTATATAAATCAAATAGGAGAAAATTAAGAGACTTTAGTAGGTATCTTTCTCTTTGTCTCCCTTTTAGTCTTTTATCCATGTTTTTCTGTCTCCCTTTTAGTCTTTTCCTTTTTCTTTTGAATATAGTGACTTAGTAAGTGTATCATATCAAAATGGTAAGCTGATTATCCAAAATGGGATAGTTGATTATTTAGCTAACCAAGGGGTGCATAAGGAGCACTTGTTTTTGGCACATTTGTAATCTRACTTGTATTTGAGGCTTCATCTTGCACCTCTTTGGAAAGTCTCATTGTAAAAGTTACTTGTTTGCTTTATTAATAAAATTCTCTTTACTTATCAAAAAATATTATTAAAAATTATGATGATTTTAATGCGATATTGATTATTTTTAAATATTCTAAGCTTTTAAACTTTAAATATATAGATTTCCAATACCTGAAATATCGTTGACATATTGGTAAAGCATCAGAGATATTAGGCTATGTTTGGTTTGAAGGAAAAGGTAGGAAAAGGAAGGGAAAGGTAGGGAAACCTTTACAAACCTTCCCTTCCTTTCCCTATTTTTTTCCTTCAAACCAAACACAACCTTAGGAACAAAGGATTCATGGAAAATTTCATCTCATTACCTAGAAAAATGGGGATATTTTGGGGAAAATTTGCGATATTGCAAACATAGTTGTCAAGGCGACGCCTAGGCGACGAGGCGCCCTTGGAGGATCGCCTTGCCTAATCACCAAGTAGTTTTCTATAGCATGTCATAAAAAACTTTTACATTCTTAATTTTTGAGGTTATAATTATAAAATAGACATTTTTAAACTAAAATATTGATTTTGTGTGTTTATATACTAATATCTTTTTATTATTTTCTTATTTGTTAGGGTTTAATCAACACAAACATAGCTAAATGCTGTATTAACCCTCAAAGGCTTCAAAACCTGAACCAATAAGTAAGGAAGAACATAAAATGTTTCCCAATCAACACATTTTCTTCTTTTTCTTTACTAATTTTGTGTGTTTATATACTAATTTCTTCTTCTTCTTCCTGAACCCCTATATTTTTTTAATTTTCTTTTCTTTCTTCTTTTTCTTCTCAATAATATGTTGGAGTATGTTGATTTTCTTTACTTTAACATAAAGTTTATACTTTTCTTATGAAAAGTATGTATATTTATTAAGGAAACATGATTGTGGAACCTAGGGAACTACTCTAGGATACATGTTTTTACTTAAAAAGATCCATCGCCTAGGCGCCCCCCTGTCGCTTGCCTTGGTGCCTTGAAAATTATGATTGCAAACCATGTGCCTGACTAAAAGTGTACAAAATCAATATGTTGCTAGTTATTCAATTTTGAGAATGCCTTATAAAACGGAACTTTGATGGGTGCAGTTTGGGCAACCAAGGAAGTACAATAGTTGTGGAGTATTTAGYAATCATGAGGTACTGATCATTTGTTAAGGTCTGATTGCCCAAGAAGTCAATGGAAACTGAATTACAAGCAGTACTTCATGGTTAAAACCAGAGAGATTACTTAGCTACAAAAAGTTCATTGTGGAATTACTTGTGATTCATGGATATTATAGGGGTGATCATGGGCCAGGCCAGGTTTTGGGCTTATGTCTATAAATGTGAAGTATTAAATGTTTTGTTTTAAATGACATATAATATTGTCTAAAAGTGAAGCTATATTTGTATTAAATGGGGATATTTTCTAAAACTTAGTATGACATTTTTGCTTCTCTTAAACTCACCATGTTCAGAACCTCCAGAGGGCATCTTGTCAGTGATTTACTGTTAAATTATAAACTTTTTTTTATCAAATGTCCCATAATACCCCTCCAAATATCAGTATATTTGTTGGAGCTCAAGATGTTGGGAGAAGCACTACCCATCATCTTTTTCCTCCCAATAACTGAACTAGAAGTGGCCCCTTTCTCTTGTCAAGACACTTCCAAGTGAGGAAGAAGGGAAAGAAGACAGATGCATAGCCGTTGAGTTCAGTGGTCTGAACGCCCAAGGGATTAGCTGATAGAGACCATGAAGCAACTCACATTGATTAGATCACCGAGAGATTGAAAAACAACTAAAAAGCAATTAGCTTAAGACCCCACTACAAAATACCTTGAGCACAATCTGTGTTTCCAAAAATAGCAAAAAATACAAAAATACAAAAATAGAGTGTTGAATGGCTACTCAATAGATAGACAACCGACTATAAACCTTGTGCAAATGACTTTTCCTTAAGAGATCAATGACTTCTGCTTTGTTGCTCTGTAAGAGATTGGTAGGATGTTGCTTGTGCTCCCTTTGCGATAATATACAATAGTAATACYGATACCATCTTTCCTTGGTTCTGCATCAAGGAACAAATTTTTCAGCCTTTGACCAATTTCACTCACAACAATGTTATTTCTTGATACAAATTTAACTTGGTTTCTAGTTCTGTTCTCCAACTCCACTATCTTTTCAAGGCAATCGCCTTCTATAAGAAAAGTAGGGACCATAGAAGTTTGTAGTCCAATGGTCCATCCCGTTCTTCTAAGGATACTGATGCAGGATCTTTGTGATTCTGCACTATTCTTGTAACCAACCAAGGTCTAGATGTGTAGCACAAACAAAGAACTAACAGAGAAAGAAGAGAAGAGAATGGAAATAAGATGAAAACGATAGGCAATCACACCTAAGGGTGAAGGCAATCAAACCCCCAACTTGGCAATCGCACCAAATTCTGTAGGGAAACTTTCTTTGTTCATTAGCCAAAATTGTTCTTCAAATGAGCCTTACAAGCTTAATAAGAAAAAAATTTCAAAAGGAAGAAACTTGTCCTCCAAGTTAGGTTGCTCAACAAGCTACTTACAAAAAAAAGCTAGATTAAACTAAACCCATCCCAAACATTTACAAACATAAAGCCAAACAAAGGGAAATTACTAGACTACGACTTGTACCTAAACATAACCCCTAAACTTGCAAAAATACAAAAATACCCTTTCTATCAAGAAATATCAAAAATCCAAATAAGTTCCGTCCAGCAGTAGACTCAACCCCACAAAAAGCATCTTAAGGTGGATTATAAGACT